GGGAGCAAACAGGGCATTTGTCCACCCCTAGAAAAACCAAAAATTAAATAATTAAATAAAAATTTATTGATATAATTGTCTGCAAACTTTGCCCCCTAAATAATTTTCTGCATCCATCCTGCACAGCGCAAAAATATCGATAATTTGAGTAACAGAAACTTTACACAAGACCCCAACGATACCTTAATTTCTTTCATTAAATAAAATCATAGAAATATAATTTTTAAAAACTAACAATTATTTTACAATTACACGCGTTAAACATTTTTAAAAATATATTTAATTAATTTTTAATTATATTCAATTAAAAATTTTACAACAACAATCATTTCGTAATTCATATTTTCAGAATTAAGTTACTTCAGACATGATTCTTGATAGATTCTTTTAATTATCATAACATAAATATTTAGAAATGTAGATTTATATTATTTGTGCTTTATCATAAATGTACTTGCTTCATTTTATATAATTAATTATGTTATACATAATAATAATATACAATATATTAATCAGGATCGTCTTAATATCATTATAGACCCCTAGGCAAAGCCGATTGTACAGGCATGCCCCCCGGCCCTGCCTACACAACTGGCGGATGGTCGAAAAATTTGTGTTAAATTCTGATCCGTGCATAAATTAACGTGGGGCCCGGGCGACCTTCTATGCGTTAAGATGGCACTGATGTTAATATACATTAATATAATAATTTGTATGTTAATGCATAAAGTAAACCCTCGATTTAACGAACTAATTGCGAGGAAAAGGGTGCTGGCGATTGCCGAGAATCCGTTAAATCGAGTGTGTATTAAAAACATACANCATTATCATTAAAAAAATGTAATTAAAAATTTACTTGGAATCTTTCTGGATCTACAGAATTATTTATTATACTTGGAGAAGTATAGAAACGAATGAACTATAAAATTTCCTTTTGGCATCTGGACTTGGGGTTCTATTGCATGAAATGTTTGCTGTTGTTACAAGTTTTACAAGTTACAAATTACAAGCAAAATGTGTTGAATAAACAGTTTTGTAACAAGTTACAATCTATTAGTCTGATTGCATAATGTTACTTGTGTCGCGTTTACATTATGTAAGTTTTATTTGCACAACTATGAACTCGTACTTGCTTTCAAATATTTTCAGACACATTGTGTATGTTTACACGTTTCAAATTGAAACTGTACAAGTTAGTAGTATCTTAGATTTACAAGTTTTTGGTTGTTTTAAAACTTGGATATATTAGGAATTTTGATGTTACTTCAGACATGATTCTTGATAGATTCTTTTAATTATCATAACATAAATATTTAGAAATGTAGATTTATATTATTTGTGCTTTATCATAAATGTACTTGCTTCATTTTATATAATTAATTATGTTATACATAATAATAATATACAATATATTAATCAGGATCGTCTTAATATCATTATAGACCCCTAGGCAAAGCCGATTGTACAGGCATGCCCCCCGGCCCTGCCTACACAACTGGCGGATGGTCGAAAAATTTGTGTTAAATTCTGATCCGTGCATAAATTAACGTGGGGCCCGGGCGACCTTCTATGCGTTAAGATGGCACTGATGTTAATATACATTAATATAATAATTTGTATGTTAATGCATAAAGTAAACCCTCGATTTAACGAACTAATTGCGAGGAAAAGGGTGCTGGCGATTGCCGAGAATCCGTTAAATCGAGTGTGTATTAAAAACATACATTAATTAATCAACTTAAAATGTGCAAAGTCTCATTGTTCCAACCTTTTAGCAATTTCTATTTGTAAATTTTTTATAAGTTAAATCGAGGGTTTACCACAATAATAGTATACATTTTACTTCCCTTAGTGCATTTTTTTAAAATTTATAAACGTTAATCCTCACGGCAAAATCTTTCAATAAAGATTTTCTTGTCTTCTATTTTATATACATTTTTATATAATTTTTTTTCGAAGTATCCTCCGAAGTTACTAGGAAAATCAATAACAACTGGAAACTTTGAATCATAAATTCAACATAAATGTTTGGTTAATCGCGTTCTGTAAAAAGACATTGGTTAATGTTGCGTTAATAATGATAAATCGAATGTTCCTCCGCTTCAATTTTTTAATAGAATATTTCCTTTGATATTATAATTTTTCCATCTCGAAAAACGACTTAGTATCAATAATTTTATTATTATTATTATTATTATTATTATTATTTGCCTTTTTTTCTTCTGAAAAATCTTAATGTCTTATCATAGAGAGATATTTTTAGACTTGGATATGCAGCATATTTTTATATTTANAAATATGCTTTGTTTGATAGAATTATCAATCAAGAGCAATTTTAACAATCTATAAACAGAAATTTTTTGTTTTTTTTTCTTATTATTTACTAATAAATTCGATGTTGTAACCTACAGTTTGATCAAAAAACACCATCTCCATTAAAAAATAATTTATCTTCAATTAGTAAAACATAAACAAGTATCTTATTTCAGATGTCTTTTGAACCCCGCTTCTTCTCTAAATGTAAACAAATGATTACTAAATTATACTTTTACGCTTTAAAATTAAATACAATTTATGTAGGCCCTTATATACTACTTTCAATTTGTTGTTTATCCCTGAATTAAAAAAGTACTCTCCTGTATATCTAATAGGAGACTTGACAGGACCTTAAATAAGATCATCTTAAGAAGCATATTTTACACTAATATTACGCACTAATTACGAAGGAGTGGTTCAAAATGTTTATAATACTGTAGATGATATCGCCATCTGTTGGCAACGTGTTTTAACTTATTAAAAATCCTGTCTTAATAAAATTTATTTACTTCATTTCGTTTTACTGAATATAATTAAAAGAAGAACAAATTTTTAGTATAATTAAATCTAACAAAGTAAAGTCATTCATATTAATAAAGTATTCGAGATAACGCACAAAGTTAACTTAATTTAAAAGCAATAGAAAAGTTGAATTGCACGACAGTCAATAAGACTATTACTTACTTACTTTCTTTTTTTTTAAATTTTAATTTATGTGAAATGTAATTAAATTCTACATTAACGCATCTCCATAACTGAACACGTTTTCTTCCAAGAAATAAATGAGGAAAAGATGAAAAGTTAATTTAAAAAAACATAATATTTTTGGAATTTTTTATAAAAATCCTTCAAAAAATTGTATGAAATCTTGTAATATAAGCGATGAAAAACTGTTAATAAATTAATTATCATTATAAAGTCTTACACATTACTATGGGCCCCGCAGAGGGGAGCAAACAGGGCATTTGTCCACCCCTAGAAAAACCAAAAATTAAATAATTAAATAAAAATTTATTGATATAATTGTCTGCAAACTTTGCCCCCTAAATAATTTTCTGCATCCATCCTGCACAGCGCAAAAATATCGATAATTTGAGTAACAGAAACTTTACACAAGACCCCAACGATACCTTAATTTCTTTCATTAAATAAAATCATAGAAATATAATTTTTAAAAACTAACAATTATTTTACAATTACACGCGTTAAACATTTTTAAAAATATATTTAATTAATTTTTAATTATATTCAATTAAAAATTTTACAACAACAATCATTTCGTAATTCATATTTTCAGAATTAAGTTACTTCAGACATGATTCTTGATAGATTCTTTTAATTATCATAACATAAATATTTAGAAATGTAGATTTATATTATTTGTGCTTTATCATAAATGTACTTGCTTCATTTTATATAATTAATTATGTTATACATAATAATAATATACAATATATTAATCAGGATCGTCTTAATATCATTATAGACCCCTAGGCAAAGCCGATTGTACAGGCATGCCCCCCGGCCCTGCCTACACAACTGGCGGATGGTCGAAAAATTTGTGTTAAATTCTGATCCGTGCATAAATTAACGTGGGGCCCGGGCGACCTTCTATGCGTTAAGATGGCACTGATGTTAATATACATTAATATAATAATTTGTATGTTAATGCATAAAGTAAACCCTCGATTTAACGAACTAATTGCGAGGAAAAGGGTGCTGGCGATTGCCGAGAATCCGTTAAATCGAGTGTGTATTAAAAACATACATTAATTAATCAACTTAAAATGTGCAAAGTCTCATTGTTCCAACCTTTTAGCAATTTCTATTTGTAAATTTTTTATAAGTTAAATCGAGGGTTTACCACAATAATAGTATACATTTTACTTCCCTTAGTGCATTTTTTTAAAATTTATAAACGTTAATCCTCACGGCAAAATCTTTCAATAAAGATTTTCTTGTCTTCTATTTTATATACATTTTTATATAATTTTTTTTCGAAGTATCCTCCGAAGTTACTAGGAAAATCAATAACAACTGGAAACTTTGAATCATAAATTCAACATAAATGTTTGGTTAATCGCGTTCTGTAAAAAGACATTGGTTAATGTTGCGTTAATAATGATAAATCGAATGTTCCTCCGCTTCAATTTTTTAATAGAATATTTCCTTTGATATTATAATTTTTCCATCTCGAAAAACGACTTAGTATCAATAATTTTATTATTATTATTATTATTATTATTATTTGCCTTTTTTTCTTCTGAAAAATCTTAATGTCTTATCATAGAGAGATATTTTTAGACTTGGATATGCAGCATATTTTTATATTTATTAATTAAAATACTTAATTATTATTCATCTACAAATCTGCATTTTAAAATGAAGCAACAAGGAATAAAATAATAAGTAATGAATGATAAATGAATGAATACATCCATCCTGTTTCCTTTTCCTCTTACAACTTATTTTTTCCTATAATTTTCTTAAGTTTATTTTTATTCTAAGAAAATTAAAATTAATGAATATACATCAGTAACTTATTAAATCTAAGTTTATTTTATAAAATTGCAGAAATGCATTAAATATTAACTTAAAAAACATATATATATATATTTTTTTATTATAGAGAATAGAATGATGTTTGCATAGGCTATAAAATATAATCAACATAAATTTACATATAAAAATTTCTTAATTTACTTAAGAAATTCTAAATTTATTGACGTCGACTTACAATTCGAGGAATTAAAATAAATAGTTGCACTTTTAAAAATTATAAGGTCATCACTTTATCTATGCAGAGGAAGAAATCACATGACAACAGTATAAACAGTTTATGAGAGAAATTCTATCCAGATTTCATGTGGCACTGGTGAGATGCAATACATTTGGATTATCTTCATACTCCGCCTTTTGTTTACGTTAGCAGGTTTGTATGTACTTTACGTACATAAATTAATTTGCTTAAGAAGTTTCCGAAGTTTACTTATTTAATTTCAATTTCTAATGTATTAAAAAAGAAGATGAAGAATGTGGACCTCCACCTGATTTGAATCATGCTTCTGCAGTAACTGATGAGGATAATTTTCCACCGGATACAGAAGTCAAGTACAAGTGCAATTTCGGTTATTATTTTGTGAGTATCAAAAGAAAAGCAACTTGTGAACGAGATGGAGGAAAAGGATTACATTGGAATACTGAAGGAATAGAATGCAGACGTTAGTGAGAATATGAGTATTCTCATATTTCTTAAATAGTTTAAAAAATTAATTAGATTAATTTAAAATAAGTACTATAATATTTAATAAGAGTTCAATTAAAACTATTTATAGAATATATTTAATAAATTGAAAAATATCCAGCAAAGAGTTGCGTAACTTTCCCACCGAAAAAACATTAAGACAGCACGAAATTAAAATTGTCTATAGCGCCATGTATTACGAGATTTTGTTTAAAAAATAACTTTTATATTATTAATTATTATAAAATGACAAAAAGCTTAAATTTGAAAGTAGAAATGAGTTTTAGAAAAAACTGTAAATGCCAATAACGTATAAAGTCTTCATTAAGACCGACTCCACTCGAGATATGACACACGACCCTCTATCTCCCCCCTCGATCTTTAAGCACAAAAATTTAATAGAATCAATGCCCCTTATACACAAACTATCGTACCAAATTGCGTTTCTTCATCATTACTCCATCCTACGCTCTAACAATGTACAATATCATTTTCTATTTGTTCACATAAAAGAAAATTCAGTCCTTTAAATAGTAGATTTGACTATTGTAGAGTTTCATTTAAATATATTTGATAATACTTTACATTTCCTTTCGGCGTTTTAGAATTTTATAATAAGTTCAGCATAGATTTTAAGACTTTCAAAGAGTGATTTAAAAACCTAGAAGCATTATCATTAAAAAAATGTAATTAAAAACTTACTTGGAATCTTTCTGGATCTACAGAATTATTTATTATACTTGGAGAAGTATAGAAACGAATGAACTATAAAATTTCCTTTTGGCATCTGGACTTGGGGTTCTATTGCATGAAATGTTTGCTGTTGTTACAAGTTTTACAAGTTACAAATTACAAGCAAAATGTGTTGAATAAACAGTTTTGTAACAAGTTACAATCTATTAGTCTGATTGCATAATGTTACTTGTGTCGCGTTTACATTATGTAAGTTTTATTTGCACAACTATGAACTCGTACTTGCTTTCAAATATTTTCAGACACATTGTGTATGTTTACACGTTTCAAATTGAAACTGTACAAGTTAGTAGTATCTTAGATTTACAAGTTTTTGGTTGTTTTAAAACTTGGATATATTAGGAATTTTGATGAGTTTCATCTGCTTAATTAAGCAATGTATTGCTCGAAAAATTGCATACCATATTACAGAAATTGAAACAGAAAAAGAGTGTGAGTACGGAACAGGATTAATCGAAGGCAATGTTTGGGAGCATCAAATACTTTTCTAAGTGAATTGTCATACTAGTAATATTCCATAAACATTCGAATTTTTCGTCAGACCACCTACTTGGTGCCATTATGAATATATATATTAAGCAACTAGAGTTGCACAACTTCTGTCAAGCAAGAAAAATAGACAGTTGCTCTATGTTACGATAGTTTTGCTTGCACAACCGCTTGAGCAAGTACTTGCAGAGCTATTTATACTATACAAGTATTGAAAACAAATAATTTACTTGTGCAAGCAAAACTTACAGTATAACAAAATGTTAAAGCGGCATTATAATCTGTAAGAAGCTACAAGTTACAAGCATTACAAGTCCTGTGACTTGTAACTTCTAATTTTTATGCAACAGGATCCAGGCCACTTAACTAGTTCAATCAGCTGAAGTGCTCACACCAACCACTAATCATTTTCTAGTTAATCTCTCCTGTTCCTAATACTCCTGTTACTAATAGTTATATACTACAGATCATTATATATTATTGATTTTATAAAAAAGCTCAGATAATATGTTTAAAATATATAAATGTGCTCCGTATAAAATAAAAAGATGATTCTTCATTTCATGACAAAGCATGGTATGTTTTATATTAGGTCTACGTGTTATTCAAATGTGGTTGCGCAGTCATGGAATACTGTATTGAACAAAGCAGCCTAAATTTTTAATTCAGTCCGGAATAGAAATCAGTCGAATTTCTCGGTTTAAAAAAACGTCTAAAATATTGTATTGTCTGAAAAATAAAAATCGTGAAGACAGATGTTTGTGGTTTAAAATCGAAGGCAGATCGATTCTATCGCAATTCGAGCAAGAGATATTGCTATTTAAAGTAATATCACGTGGAAATCGCTTAGAGTCAACAAATGAATAATATTCCGCGAATATTTTATTCATTAATGAGCTGGGCAGTCGCTACGGGAAGTGTGGTTTTCAATGACCAAAAAGAGCTGACTCGATTACATGAAAATGGCTGATGTAATAATGATGCTATTTCTGCTATATTTCCATGCATTTTGTTTGATGTTGTTAGAAGAAAAGCCATTAAGTACGATGATGTTTATTAGAAAACGAGGAAATGATAATTTATTTACTTCTCCTGAAAAATATTTTCGCACGGAGGCGTCCATCTTGCGAGAGGAATTGATAGAGTAGTCTAGAGATGCTGCCAGTGCGCTGAAAGCGCGCGTTAAGCGTGCTGACATAAGGATTTATAATAAAATGTATGTGTTAAAAGCGCTGCTAAGAGTACGAATTGGTACTAGGATTTCATTTCCCGGTCTTTTGCATATCCCGGAATTTCGAGAAAAATAATCCGTGTTCCAGGATCCCGGGATTAATTATATTTGAAATATATTATAAAATAAATTATCCTAGAAAAGAATGATAGAATTACTTTTCATTTTTAAAAGTAATTTAATACGTTCCGCAACCTCCATCACCTTGTTTTCATTTTAATTTTAAATTAAAATTAGCACAAGATGGCGGTTTAACCGCACTACCTGTAGGAAATTAATTCGAAATACACGTTGGAACAGATTCTATGGCACGCCATAACAAAGAAAAAATTAAAAAAATAATAATAAGCAAGCTTACAATTACTAAATACAAATGTATTCGGACAATTCATAAGTTAACTATACTTTCTATTAGCAAAATTTTTTCCACTTAACACAAAATGGGGAAAAACTTAAATTTTTAAGGAATTTGCACGATTTCCTAAGAAATTAAAATGGCTAAAAGTAACCAAGATTTCGAGATCCCGGTAGACAAACGCTATTGCTGAATTTATTATTACAGGGAATGAGCCCAAAAACGTTCCTAACATACAATATAGGGGTTCATTTAAATATGTTATCAATTTTAAATCAATTTTAGCCACAGCAAAAAAAAATCGACAAATATAAATTTCGATTAATTAAGTATTTTGCCACATTGGCAACCAAAATGCCGCCTTTTAGATTTTTCGCCCCGGACAAATGTCCTGGTTGTCCGCCTCTAGAGCGGGTCCTGCCGTCACATTTTATCACTAAAATTAGACATTCCCCATGCCAATGTCACGCTCGATCTGCCACTCCGATGTTAAAATCAAATATTTATGTAAAAGGAAAGTGTTTCTCTTGATGAGATCATTGTTATTCAGTGTTATCAAAATCATAAATAAAAAAAATTACAGTATTTCATTCCAAAATACCCGCTGATCGCTTTATACCTCATCATTACAATATGCTATTAAAAACTTTTTATTGAAACATGTCTCAATGATGTACCCCAACAAAATATACAACTAATAACATAAATCTCTTAAAATTCGCACAAAATATAGCCAGATAACTCGAACCCGGGTTCTGTGCAGGATATATGGGTTTTTTTCACTATCTGATCTCCTCTCGTAATGAGTCTGGTCAAACCCAGGATAGAATGGTCCTCTTAGTGTCAACGGAGAGAAATGAGTAAAAATAAACTTAAATGAATTACATCCAAGAAATATAAGTCTCTGGATGCATTGACTATTAAATATAGGTATTTTACAATTATGATAGATTAGATTTTTCTGTTTCTTTCCTCCCCGTGGACACTAAGAAGGCCTTTTTAACTATATCCATTAGACCTCTCGGTGTCCACAGAGCTGGAAGGAAAACAACCATACCCATCGGACTATCCGGGGCCAAAGAAGTATGGAGATATTGCAATGGCAATACCAAAAGTATTGGGTACAAAAAAATTATTTCTAAGTTTAAAATGCCAATTTATGACGATACAATAGAACATCGATTATCCGAACCAACCAGGGACTAGGGCTGTTCGAGGAGAAAAAAATCGATTTTTCGGATAACCGATTATGTACGAAAAACTATATTAACCTGTCGCATGTTGAAATTCGTTCAAATCTTGGCACGTCCTTAAGTACCCTCTCACGGTCGCGTCAGTGCTGCCAGCTAAAACACGCGCACCAACAAAAATAATATTGGAGTAGCCCAAGAATAGCCAAAGATTGCAGCGCCATAGGGTACAATTCAAGCTCCAAATGAGACGGTTGGGACCTTGACAGAGCTGTAGAGTATAGTGATAAGAAAAAAACAGTCGAGGAAACCATACCCGGGCGGGCGACCATTGTCGCGATATAGCCCTCCCAAACTTACTCTACGGGTCACGTGACCTTGTCAAGGATAGAGCGAAGATGGCCTTTCACTTTGTTCCTTACCGTGATAGTCTTCAGAATTTTCTAACAACATCCTAAAAACATCATCACACGATAGCAGATATTTCACTTATACACTCGTCATTTGAATGTCAGCCATCAATTTGATCTTTATCAAAGTCAGTTAGCACCTTTAGTCAAGGTATAGTTAAAAATGTGCTCAAAGCTTAAGCTGCAACTTACACTTTGCTTTTTAAGTAAAGAAAAATGCAGTATCCACCAACTTTCAGCATTATGCACAAAAAATTTGTATAGTTTATCTATTTGCACATATCAAGTGTATAATTTTACACCACTGTGAAATGACTATTTTTGGCATAATTTATGTTTGGGGTTAATCTAGCAGGATGGTATTTAGTGTGTGTCATTAGAAGTTAATGTTAAAAAATTACATAAAATTTTGCCCATCTACTCTAAATAATTGAAGAGATTTTTTATTTAAATTACACTAGCATATAGTTGAACGCTGCACTGTATATTGTGCCTATTCGAGGGTACGAGTCCGTTTAACGACCCGCGTAAAGTGAGGCCGCGGTCTCCGTAGTATGGTATTGTAGGTGTGTTTTATACGATTATGCTTGTGTATTGATATAAATTTACGTTAAATTTTTATAATTAAATATATAACACTCCATTTCGATTATATAAATAGCTGTATCTTGTGGAGAACCTGAACTGATAGAAAATGGACAAGTTTTGGGAAGTCGATACACTTATCCAAATTCGGTGGAGTATGTGTGTAATGTTGGATATAAATTGAAAGGTATTAATGTGCGTTTCTGTGGAACGGATGGTGAATGGAGTGGCCGTAAACCTTCTTGCGCAAGTAAGATTTTGAAAGAGTATGGTATTAAGAATTAATTATAAAATTAAGATAATCATGAATATTTTATACATTTTACAAATTATACTTTTTAATATTTTAGTTGTCACTTGTCCAAAGCCGGAAGAAATAGAAAATGGCACCGTCAGTTATAGTTCTACAGTATATAACTCAATAGCCACTTACAATTGTTATGATGGACTTCATATAGAAGGTAACAACACTGTAAAATGTGATGCTGAAGGAAATTGGAAAGGAGTTCTCCCCAAATGCAAAGGTTTGATTAATTTGAATTTATATTAAAACAATTATTTACTCTTAACTAGAATAATGCATATATAATTTACAGTACTACAAATTTGTTTTTTGAATTATTTGAGAAGTAACTTAAATAATCACTTTCTATTCAATCTTGACATTAAAGCTAGATTTTTTGGTTGAAGTTTACCTTGATAGTCCCAATTGCTGCACTAGGTTGGTTAAGTTAGGTTAACTACATTTTTAGTAGACATTTTTTTTTTTTCTTTTTAGATATTACTTTCTTCTGTCTACTAAAAATGTACTTAATCTAACCTAACCCAACCAAACCAACCTAAACTAACTGAAGGGCAACCATTGAAACTACCAAGGTAAACTTCAACTGATTTTTAAAAAATATTCAATATAATAGATTAGAAGTTATACATTGCAAATTTTAGTCATTTATATCAGAAATTAGTCAGATACAGGGTCGTAAAAATTGCCCTCACAGATTCTGCAATATACAAGGACCCCAGAAAATTTTTGGAGCCCATAACTAGTTGGTAAGAAAGCATGTGAGATTTAACATGGAAACTTCTGTAAAGAATACTGTATTTTATGTTGTATGTTTCATTACAGTAGCAAATCTTAACCTAAAATTATTTTATAGATAGACAACATGTATTTTCATGTAGCTAACCAAATATGGTTATTTCCCTTATTATACATCATCACATTTAGTTTGTTTGAGGTATAAAGATTGATTTTTGAAGAACTGCTTTGACTATCCATTACAAATCTGAATAACTAAAGCACTTATTTTTTTAAGAGAAAAAAGAATAGAATTTTAGTGTGTCTGATATTTGATTTATAGGATATCTTCATCATATAGTTGTAAAGTGAATGACTCAAAATTAAATGTCAAAATATAGATTAAACAATGTAAATAAATATTTATTGTAAACATTAAGGAAAAAAAAAATTCATAAATCATCTATTTAGGCATGGGCATTCACAGATGGAGGCAAATGGGATAAAGTAAAAAATTCCACAAATTATAATCATATAAGATAACTTTTGTACAGTACCTTAGACCTTCAACCAATGGAATGCTTTGTCTGTCTTAAAAAAACTCCAAAAAATTAATTAGAATGTAATTGTCTTCAAGCTCTTTCCCCTCAAATTTTATGCAGATGTCCCACACATGTAGGTATAAAGATTGATTCTATTATTATGGTCTTGCCATTATGTGCACTGTCATTACTATTGAGGAGATCAATGTAATTTGTAAAGAAAAGTTACCAGTACTTTCCATAGATCAGATTTCTTCTCAAGAAATGTTGCTGAGAGAAGTAGCTGCAGCTAATTCGAAAAGCGGAGGGCAAGGCTGTATACGCTGCCATTGCAAACAGAAGTGTTCCACGAATAAATGCAGTTGTAAAAGCAAGGGACAAGAGTCCCTTGCTTTTAACCATTGCAAAGAGAAGTGTTCCACGAATAAATGCAGTTGTAAAAGCAAGGGACTCTTGTGAAATTCAAAGTGCCATAACAGTTTAAGTTGTTCCAATAAATAAGATTGTATAACATTAATCACATAATTTATGTGTAAGTTTATTATTGTATTATTTTCTTTAATGATTTAGAATGTGCTGTTACTTAAGCTTTCTCCTATTTTGACATATTAAAAAGTTGCATTTTTGTCTTAACGTAATAAAAATATTTTTATTTAACATTCACCATCAGTGCATGCTGATTGTCGACATTTGCCAGTGTAAGTGAGAAATAACGATATTTAGCAAATATTTTGTACATACATGAAACGACTGTGTGAATGCTGACATTAACCGGAGAATGTTAACATTCGCCAGATATCGGTCATTCACAGTAACATATATAAACTGTTTCTGCACTATGGGCACTAATAGCTGTAGGCGCTAATATTATGGTTATCGTCATAGATTTAGGAATTTGCTCTTTCCTAATATCTTTAGATAAAGTGCAATTTCTTCCAATATAGAAATGTACACAGTTTTGTTATCAGAGAATTCCTTCTTCTTGTTACATTATTATTGTTGAAGCATATTTACAGTAGTCTCTGATTAACTTGTTTTAGAACAGCAGTTTTTCCACATTGACTTCACTGATTCACAGTTAAAGATGTGCAGCAATTTTTGGTCCTTTTAATCATTTTGCAAATATTTTGTTTTCATCTTTGCTGCATTTTCTGTCATATGCTTTATTTATATAGCTCTTCCACAAACAGCTCTAGTTTGATAAACTGTTCATTTACAATATCCAAAGTAACACAATGTACACTTGAAATTTTTATAATGCACAATATTCAATATTTCTTAAGTGAGTTGTTTTTGCCTATTTATTTTCCATCTTTTTTCAGTTCATCTTCCATTTTTGTGCAAAACTGGAACACTGGGTTAAATTGTAAAATGATAAGCACTCAACATTGAAGTTTCAATCAAGCATTCAATATATTTTAAAGTGACTTCAAACAATTACTACAATACATGTAAACTATCTGCAATTTTTTTTCATTGTGATAGTACTACTATCATGATCTATGTGCCGCCCTCTCCAATAGTAAAAGAGATCCCATTGTAAGTTAACTGTACATAAATTGAGTGATCATCCCCATCTAGGAATTTTACAAATCACACACTGTGCAACACTGTTGCCACCCATTCACCTGCAATAATTTTTCAAAGTTTGAGTTGAGGGATTTTACAAACACCCTGTATTTCCATTAGTCACTTTTAAGACACATGTTACTGTGCATTGAAAAATGACAAAAAATGTGAGGCCAAAGAAAAATAACATTAAGTAAACAATCAATAAAGCAAATAATAAAAATACAGTGTCATAACATATTTGTCAAATCAAAATTTTAATATTTATTAATATAAAATTTTTTTAACATCAGAGTTTGATCCAATAATATCTTTTAAAATTCCTCCTGTATTTTTAGCAGTTGTAGATAATGTAAGAATTTTCTTTGGTTGTATGGGATATTAAGTAAGCGACAATATAGTGATTTTACCAGTAATTAAAATGGTAAATAATTTTTATGTGGCCCATTCAAATATAAATTATAATTTGATAATTAAACAAAAAATACATTGACGTTTATTACCTTATTTTTCAATGTGATCCTCTCTTTTGCAATACATTGATGCTAGTGGATGGATAGCTTCTAGATACTCCATAAGAAGTCTTTTGGCTACAGACATACCACTCTCAAACAGCTTCAATTACTTTATTTGAGGTAAACTTCTTTCCTCCTAAAAATTCTTTGAACAGTCAATATATGTAGCAATCTGCCAGGGAAAGATTGGGACTGTATGGAGGATGGAGAAGAAGGATCCACTTCAATTTCTAAATCATTACCATGCATACTGTGTGAGTGGCAACATGTGGGCAGGTGTTCTTGAATAAGTAGATGGAAATTTGACACTCTCTCTCTTGTCTTGGATGGCTGTTTTCACTGGTCCTGCCAGAAAAGTTATGTATGGTCTGCATTTGTTGTCTGCTGTTCTGTACACCTAAGTCTAATTTGTTTACCTATAATGAAGAATAACAAACTGTTCAAGAGTAGTAAGTCTGCAGCCAAAAAACTTTTTATGGGGAATCCAGAAGCTACCCAACTCATGGCATCAATGTATTGCAAAAGAGGGAATCACATTAAAAAATAAGGCAATAAATGTCATGTATGATATTTGTTTTTGTTTAATTATCAAATTATAATTTGTTTGAACATGCCTTGTATTAAATTAAAACAAATGTCAAATTAGAAGAGATTAATTATAAAATTTCTTTATAGAGATGCTTTGTCCAGAACCATTGCAGCCACTTCATGGAATAGCAACATTGATGAATGAAAAACGAAATGTAGGAAGCTTGGTTGTTTACAATTGTAATTCTGGGTTTAATTTAATTGGAAATACATATGCTAAATGCTTAGCAACTGGAAAATGGAGTTTTGAAACCCCCAANTCCAATAAATATCTTTTAAAATTCCTCCTGTATTTTTAGCAGTTGTAGATAATGTAAGAATTTTCTTTGGTTGTATGGGATATTAAGTAAGCGACAATATAGTGATTTTACCAGTAATTAAAATGGTAAATAATTTTTATGTGGCCCATTCAAATATAAATTATAATTTGATAATTAAACAAAAAATACATTGACGTTTATTACCTTATTTTTCAATGTGATCCTCTCTTTTGCAATACATTGATGCTAGTGGATGGATAGCTTCTAGATACTCCATAAGAAGTCTTTTGGCTACAGACATACCACTCTCAAACAGCTTCAATTACTTTATTTGAGGTAAACTTCTTTCCTCCTAAAAATTCTTTGAACAGTCAATATATGTAGCAATCTGCCAGGGAAAGATTGGGACTGTATGGAGGATGGAGAAGAAGGATCCACTTCAATTTCTAAATCATTACCATGCATACTGTGTGAGTGGCAACATGTGGGCAGGTGTTCTTGAATAAGTAGATGGAAATTTGACACTCTCTCTCTTGTCTTGGATGGCTGTTTTCACTGGTCCTGCCAGAAAAGTTATGTATGGTCTGCATTTGTTGTCTGCTGTTCTGTACACCTAAGTCTAATTTGTTTACCTATAATGAAGAATAACAAACTGTTCAAGAGTAGTAAGTCTGCAGCCAAAAAACTTTTTATGGGGAATCCAGAAGCTACCCAACTCATGGCATCAATGTATTGCAAAAGAGGGAATCACATTAAAAAATAAGGCAATAAATGTCATGTATGATATTTGTTTTTGTTTAATTATCAAATTATAATTTGTTTGAACATGCCTTGTATTAAATTAAAACAAATGTCAAATTAGAAGAGATTAATTATAAAATTTCTTTATAGAGATGCTTTGTCCAGAACCATTGCAGCCACTTCATGGAATAGCAACATTGATGAATGAAAAACGAAATGTAGGAAGCTTGGTTGTTTACAATTGTAATTCTGGGTTTAATTTAATTGGAAATACATATGCTAAATGCTTAGCAACTGGAAAATGGAGTTTTGAAACCCCCAAGTGTGCCAGTATGTAAAAAGTTGCTATAAAATAGTATAAGTAAATAATTTTAATTTATGTTTTATTAGTTAAAGTAACATTAATAATATTTGAAGCATGCAATGTCATAATGTTGTAAATGCCAGAAAACAAACTTTTCAAGAGAGATAAAAAAAACACTTCTTCTAGTGAACAAACTTTAATCAAATGCTAGAAAAATTATCTTAACATTTTAAACGTTGCTATAAAATAGTATAAGTAAATAATTTTAATTTATGTTTTATTAGTTAAAGTAACATTAATAATATTTGAAGCATGCAATGCCATAATGTTGTAAATGCCAGAAAACAAACTTTTCAGGAGAGATAAAAAAAACACTTCTTCTAGTGAACAAACTTTAATCAAATGCTAGAAAAATTATCTTAACATTTTAAACAGATATAAAACATTGTGNAAACAAACTTTTCAAGAGAGATAAAAAAAACACTTCTTCTAGTGAACAAACTTTAATCAAATGCTAGAAAAATTATCTTAACATTTTAAACAGATATAAAACATTGTGTTTAATTTCAAACACACAAGTATAATAGTAAGGAAACAAAAAAGTTTAAAACTAGGGTTAGAACCAGATGTACGTCTAAACTTAAAACAGAAATGTAAAAAACCTGAAGAGGGGTGCAAGTTACACGAAAATACGGTAATACCTCGACTTGCGCTACCCCAACTTACGCGAACCCAGAGTTACGCAATTTTCAAATCTCGTCAATTCATCTTTTGTTTGAGTGCCACGCAATTCTTGATTACTCACTCCCCCCCACACTATTGTTCAGCTTACATGTTCAGATGTGTCATGCAGAATCGACACATAGCTACAATTTATTTTGTGTTATTTATTTCTGTGTTTATTAAATCTACGGAGACTTGAGAGAGACTATGTGGTGATTTCTTGTAACCGTAAACGAATCAAAAGACAAGATAACAAGAACATTTATTAGCTTACATACGTACGACTTGGATTTTACACAAATTGCGAAATTATACCCCGACTTACGTGGTTATCGCTCAGTCCCACCTATCACGTAAGTTTGGGGTATTACTGTATTGCACCCGAAATGTACAGTAAATAAGTAAATAAAGAATACGAAGATAAGCTTTTGTCTCTGATTAAATGCGGTCCAGGCAAAAAAAGGTGGTTATTTCCGTAGAATTAACCCATGAAGTTTCATCAATTTTTGAGGAAATATTTTTTTGAAAAATTTATTTTTTAAAAGGAATATAAAGAAAACCGCACCATTGATATATACATATCTATTACTTATAGTAGAGCCATAATGTTGTATTTGGCAAAATTGTGCAAGTGCACAAGGTTGTAAATACCAAAAACAATTGAGTCATAAAATGAAAATGTTTCTACAGCTAAAAAAAGTTTTGAATACTGAAAACTTACATTTAAATTATTAAACATGTGACAATGCCGAAGGGCTCCCCTTATACTTCAGCACCATGGTACTGAATCGCATCAGTGAAGATCGCAATGACAAGGTTTGTCAGGACTGACATCACTGTGTCTTTATGGACAGACACAGAAACCTTTATGTTCTATCTCAAACAATTGCGTGTGTGGGTGAACGGGATTCGGGATGGAGGGATAGACAATGCACCGGAAGTGACTTACACAGAGACGAGTTAACATAACCACTGTTTAATTGATAATACAGGATATATCGTAGACTGTATAGACTGATATCATGTCCTGTATTATCTATTGATAAACTAATAGATAATACAGGACATATCATAGACCAAGTGGAATATGATTGATTTAGATGTATGAGAAATGATAGCTATTATGTAGATATTAGATTGAGGTAACTCAAGACCTGTGTTTCTCGAGAGAGAAGAGTTTACAGCAAAAACACATGATGATAAATACCTTATTGAGGATTTGGTCTTGATCAGGAACGTTCTTGGTGAAAGAGAGGAAGTTCGGGATGTCAGTTCGGGTATCCTGTAGATGAAATATCCATAAGCCTGATGGAACGTATCCGCAAAGGTGTTAGATGATGGTTTCCATTGATATTTTAGTAGGATATAGGAATGTAAAATAAAATGATATATTCACAGATATCCAAATATTGAGGCACTTAGGATAAGATACTGGTGACAACTGACTCTTTTGAAGGATGGGCGACAACTGCTTTAGTTCCTTGATTTTTCTGTTGTTGAACTGATGAAATCAAGATATTAGGTTGAGAGGTGATGAGAAAGCATCATTGTCAGGCCTGAGAACTTAACAGATGTTTTGCTCCCAGGTTTGAAAGTTGACAGTTATTTAACGAAAGTATAGCTATGATCTGACGTTAGGAGATAATGGTATAAACATACTGAAAGTCTGGATTCAGATCCTCACACACAATTTACAAAAAATTCAAACTCAATTTTAACATTAAAAACNAAAAAAAGGTGGTTATTTCTGTAGAATTAACCCATGAAGTTTCATCAATTTTTGAGGAAATATTTTTTTGAAAAATTGATTTTTTAAAAGGAATATAAAGAAAACCGCACCATTGATATATACATATCTATTACTTATAGTAGAGCCATAATGTTGTATTTGGCAAAATTGTGCAAGTGCACAAGGTTGTAAATACCAAAAAACAATTGAGTCATAAAATGAATGTTTCTACAGCTAAAAAAAGTTTTGAATACTGAAAACTTACATTTAAATTATTAAACATATGTGACAATGCTGAAGGGCTCCCCTTATACTTCAGCACCATGGGACCGAATCGCATCAGTGAAGATCGCAATGACAAGGTTTGTCAGGACTGACATCACTGTGTCTTTATGGACAGACACAGAAACCTTTATGTTCTATCTCAAACAATTGCGTGTGTGGATGAACGGATTCGGGAGAGACAATGCACCGGAGAGAGAGACAATGCACCGGAAGTGACTTACACAGAGACGAGTTAACATAACCACTGTTTAATTGATAATACAGGATATATCGTAGACTGTATAGACTGATATCATGTCCTGTATTATCTATTGATAAACTAATAGATAATACAGGACATATCATAGACCAAGTGGAATATGATTGATTTAGATGTATGAGAAATGATAGCTATTATGTAGATATTAGATTGAGGTAACTCAAGACCTGTGTTTCTCGAGAGAGAAGAGTTTACAGCAAAAACACATGATGATAAATACCTTATTGAGGATTTGGTCTTGATCAGGAACGTTCTTGGTGAAAGAGAGGAAGTTCGGGATGTCAGTTCGGGTATCCTGTAGATGAAATATCCATAAGCCTGATGGAACGTATCCGCAAAGGTGTTAGATGATGGTTTCCATTGATATTTTAGTAGGATATAGGAATGTAAAATAAAATGATATATTCACAGATATCCAAATATTGAGGCACTTAGGATAAGATACTGGTGACAACTGACTCTTTTGAAGGATGGGCGACAACTGCTTTAGTTCCTTGATTTTTCTGTTGTTGAACTGATGAAATCAAGATATTAGGTTGAGAGGTGATGAGAAAGCATCATTGTCAGGCCTGAGAACTTAACAGATGTTTTGCTCCCAGGTTTGAAAGTTGACAGTTATTTAACGAAAGTATAGCTATGATCTGACGTTAGGAGATAATGGTATAAACATACTGAAAGTCTGGATTCGGATCCTCACACACAATTTACAAAAAATTCAATTTTAACATTAAAAACTGACATTAATCTACTGGTGACAGCTTCCTGGCTTCATCACTGTTGAGCCCACAGTTTTGATACTTAGAGTTAGACTTTGATCTTTATCAATTGTAATATTGTTATGATAAATAAAGGAAAATATAAACAATAAGATATTTATTCTTTTTTCTTGTATGTCTTTACTGTTTCACATTTCTGTGTATATACTGTCTACTTGGACTTTGTTTATTAATAGGACTTATTATATTCATATAATAAGTCCTATTAATAAACAAAGTCTAAGTAGACAGTATATACACAGAAACGTAAATAAGATATTTAGTGTAATAAAAATTAAAATGAGTTTNAGTATTAAAAAATTATTAGATAAAAAATGTTCCTTGCAACAATCACAACTTTATTATACATTTTTTCTTTTAGGTTTTTTTTCTTTAATTTAAAGTTACAATATGTAAAATTAACAATACGGTTACTCACTAAATTTCTTAAATGAGGGGTACAATTTAGAGATATGACATGTCACGGGGTACAATCTAGAGATATGACATGTCACGGGGTACGCTAATGAAAAAAGGTTGGGAACCACTGCTGTAGATGAAATATCCGTAAGCCTGATGGAACATATCCACAAAGGTGTTAGATGATGGTTTCCGATGATATTTTAGTATGATATAGGAATGTAAAATAAAATGATATATTCACAGATATCCAAATATTGAGGCACTTAGGATAAGGTACTGGTGACAACTGACTCTTTTGAAGGATGGGCGACAACTGCTTTAGTTTCTTGATTTTTCTGTTGTTGAACTGATGAAATCGAGATATTAGGTTGAGAGGTGATGAGAAAGCATCATTGTCAGGCCTGAGAACTTAACAGATGTTTTGCTCCCAGGTTTGAAAGTTGACAGTTATTTAACGAAAGTATAGCTATGATCTGACGTTAGGAGATAATGGTATAAACATACTGAAAGTCTGGATTCGGATCCTCACACACAATTTACAAAAAATTCAATTTTAACATTAAAAACTGACATTAATCTACTGGTGACAGCTTCCTGGCTTCATCACTGTTGAGCCCACAGTTTTGATACTTAGAGTTAGACTTTGATCTTTATCAATTGTATGTTATGATAAATAAAGGAAAATATAAACAATAAGATATTTATTCTTTTTTCTTGTATGTCTTTACTGTTTCACATTTCTGTGTATATACTGTCTACTTGGACTTTGTTTATTAATAGGACTTATTATATTCATATAATAAGTCCTATTAATAAACAAAGTCTAAGTAGACAGTATATACACAGAAACGT